TATATATATATATATATATATATATATATATATATATATATATATATATATATATATATATATATATATATATATATAACTACAGACGGTAGAACGATGCTCTACCTTCTGAGCTACAAGGTCAAGCTGAGGACGACGTGTTAAGTTATGATGTTATATATATATATATATATATATATATATATATATATATATTTATAATATAGTCATTCACCGTATATGAGCAGAAAAAAGAAAAATATTCGCTTTGAGAAAGATAATAGTACAAGGAAAAACTCTATAGGTTAGCAAAATACATTTATTACATAGAAATTAGTTTAAATACAAGTTTTTTAAAGAATTAATACCGAAACAACAGCGAAAAAAACGTGTTCATTGAGAAAATAAATTGTTCAGACAAGTTTGCAACGAAAGACAAATGAATTTGCAGTCAACAAGCACTTACTATATACTACCAAACATCTGTATAATATATCTGAGCTTTTCTGTGAGATATACCGGTTCTAAAACCATTTCTTTCACTTCGCCTTCGAGTTGTATAAAACAAAAGTATTTCAAATTTTCAAGGCCAAGCGGTTTTTTGCCGAACAAATTGTCAAGACATTGTAACAGAGGATATCAGTTAATAGACCTAATTATTGCTTCAGTTAATGGATATTATAGACTATATTATAAAACAATTAATTATACCATTCGCTCTCGTCGTATATGGCTGATAGCCGACTCGGTGCTACGCACCTCGTCAGCTATCAGCTCATATACGACTCGAGCTCATGGTATATGTATAATTGTTAAATATACGAGCAGTGAGGCAGCTATAAATTTTACTATACAGTTGTTATTCAGTTGACAGCTATAGAGTATAGTTGTTCATTTATTTATAAAGGGCTCAACATTGGCATTGGTTTTATTTCCCCAGATTCCAGAAACAAACATTTTAAATTATTTATATATTCATAGGTATATAGATTTGCTTTGTAAGATAATCTAAAAACTAAAGTCATCTTTGTCAACTTTTGTTTTTATACTATTTTATAGACTTTTATATCGTCACATGTTCTGAAACAGACTACCTGACTGTCGCCTGAACTACTGCAAAATAAGCTTTTTTAAAAGTCTCGCGTGAGGCCCCACGGCAATAACCCAAGTCCGTTTTTATATACAACACGTATCCATGCTATAGCATTCCGTGGATGAAATATAAACGACAGTCACTTTTGGTTTATTTTCTTGCATAAACTACTTGTCTACTTCTTGCATATGTAGACTATAATTATTTCTAGTTTTTAAGTTGTCACGTTCATTATTCCGCTTGCATTTTCATAGGAAAGGCAAAACATCGAAGTCGCTCCTTGTCGCTTCCATTTTGAGTTTTTGACAGTTTTTATTTTGCTCAT